GAGAACCGAGTTGGGGGGAAAGATGAAAGATCTCGGCTTGTGTTGTTTCAGGTCCCGTGGGTGAGAGCGAGGCTAGTCTTTTTTTCTGCTGAAGAGAAATCTCTGGGTCTCGCCGAGATCACGTCGCTCGCGGACATGCGGGTGCTGCACCTGGGTCACAATACTTCACGCATGACGAGTCACGCGACGGAACCCGCAGGCCACGCGCTCCTCCGCATTAAATACAGCAGCGCGAGCTGATGCGCGCGGGGACTCGCGGGGGTCTGACCTGCGGCCGGGATACGGGTTCACTTTACTGCCGCGACCGCGAACACACGCCTTCAAGGGATTGTTTTCGATACATTTGGGCATTCTTTGCTTGCCTTAAAAAGAGACGGGAAGATAGCCTAGAGAATCAGAATTCTCATTTCCGTTTTTCAATTGCGAGTTTTGCTGATTGCATTATGAGTCAGTGTGATAATGAAAACATTACGAGATGTTTATAAAACAATGATAATATTCAGAATAATGTTAGAAAAGTAATGGCCTTTCAGTGAGAGATTTTGACATTTTGACATTAGCTTAAATCTTAAGATAATACTTGATGCTAATAATCGACGCTTTAATGCATTGTTGGTCTATAGTATTTAGGCCTATATTGTGGTAAAATATTTTTAATAGGCCTACTAACAGCATTGACATAATGACTGCAATTTATTTATTTTTCATATTATTCATTGCCTCCCTTGGTTCTGTTACAGCTGGATTAACAATGTTAGCAAAAAATAAAAATAAAAATTAAAGGAACAAGATGTTCGTATCTTTCTTTATAACGAAAATGTAATTTTATTTAGGTGAAAATGTATTTTGGAGGTTTATGATTACATTTATTTTTAAAGTCAGTAATTATTATTGATTATTCAAAAACTAATGATAGCACCGTTGTCTTTTTTTTCCCTGAAATAAAATATCTTCAGCAATTCTAATGTTAGCCTAGATGCTGTTGCCTGACTTGTCTGAAAATTAACTTTAATGCAAATAAAAAAATTTATGGACTAATGGTATGACTACGTAAACATTTTACTTAGATGATATTTAGTTTAGTTATTCTGAATTTAGGCACTTGTTAATTAAAACTGCATTTTGAAACGTTTTTTTATGTTTCATGCGTAGAGCACGTTATTAAGTCAAGAACACAAGGGGTTAACCACACAGCAACAACTACAATAAAACACACGCTTTATTCTTATTTCGAGGAAAATGAAAATCACCAGACAAGAACCAACTTCTAGCCTTCACCACATAACACCGTATCTATGAAACAAAAAATACAAGATGCTATCTAAAACAAGCGTTCACCCACGCACAGAGACAGTCACAGATAGACGACCCAGTCTATTCCTATGTACAAACGCCCATTAAATTAAGCATAAATAAATATATACAAACTTAAATAAAAGAACCTTCCTCGCACAGTTAACCAAATATTAACTTTGACAGACAGGCTATAATCCAGCTTGCGGAACTGAGAAAGTCAGAGAAAAGGCTGCGCGAGGCCCCAGTTCTGTGCAGCAGCATTATATGAAAGCGCACAAATCCCGGACCCTTTTTATGTGTATTTTCAAAAGTCTTTTTTTTTCGGTCAAAGCAAGCTTCCATTCAGCTGATGTAGGGTTGTAAAATCAATTAACAATATTTAGGCCATAAAATGTTTTTTTTTGTCCTATGTTGATTTAACTCTGTGTAAATGTTAGCATATATAAAAAATAAAAAAAACATAAACAACAGATGAATTATCAGTGAAATCTTGATTCAGTTGGTCAGCTAAGATGATTACCATTTCAAAAGTGACTTACTAAAAATGTCCTCATTTTCACAACCAAATGGCCAAGACAGCACAAGCAATAGCAGTTTCAAATACAAAGTAATACAACCAAAAAATACAAAATTCTCCTTTTAGTAGACAATCTATTCTGAATATCGCCTGAGGTGTTTTAAAGAATATGTTAAATCTCAGCGTTTTAATTTGGCTTGTAATCTTATGATATATGCTGTCTGATAACATTGTTTGTACGATATACTGTTCATTTTCTGCCTGTATTTTGGACATTGTTGTGTTTATTGTTGCTTGTTTCGTGCTGTTTGCACAAGGTGACTGCAGGAACTACATTTTATTCCTTATTCTGTAGGAAAACAACTTTGACTTAACATGCCAACTGTCTGCTAATGGGACAGTGTGGGGTCTAGACATGCTGTGCCTATAGCAAGACTAGTCAGGTGGGTTTTAGGACCAGTCCCACTAACTCCTTTACCAGCTACACAGCTTTGATCCAATCAGAGAATGTCATGACATTTTTTCATGGCACATCAAGCATGACAAATTCTTCATTCACATTTATCAGAGCATGCATCAGAAGGAACGTGCTTGATCTTCTGTATCAGTTAAAGAAATGCGACCTGCTCGCTCATGGATTACAGCATTCATTTTTCAAGAAACGAATTTAAGTCATAAGTTGAATTAAACAATCAAATGGAAAAGACATCAACCATGATTCCATTAAAAAAGCCTTTCTGCCTACCAAAGAAGCTGAAAAGAACTGTCAACTTACTGCCATGGATATTCCTACTTATTTCTTTATATATAAATCTACATATTCTTTTAACTTTGTGTGAAATATTGATTATAAAGAAGATCTACATAATATCAAAGCCACTGCATAGCAACTCTGAAAACCTTCATCCATAAATTACAAACACTGTGACTTCAGCATTTGGACATTTATGATGAAATTGATCAAATGAAAAAAATATTAAATGAAAACCTTTGATACGTTAGGCTCTCACAGATCAAAAAGTAAACCAAAATATTACAAAAGCCTTAGTTCATATCACACCCATGTTTGTTCATCTCAGTGTCTCACATAATGATGATGTGATTGCTTAAGATGCTCTTAATTATCTTGAGTAATAGGATAACAGGTGCTCGGACAGGTTCAAGCTTGCAATAGTTCAGAAGCTCTGTGGGAATCCCTGGGAATCATGGGTAAAATGCATGTTTCCCATCCCCTAATCACACTGCGAGCAAAAGCTCTCCAAAAAATATTTTTACAATAAAAAAAAAAAAGGCTGACATCTACTTGAAATGAAACTCTCCAGTGTTCACTGTCCATACATATGAAGAAAAGAGATACAGAACTTGAAATCCTCAGAGCAAAGCCTGCATATTTCTGCTTCTGAGAGCAAAGCCCGTCAATTAGAATAAAGCCATGGATTTAACTTTCAGTCTACTGGGAGAGTGTCTATCTGTTACTACTGGGGAATATTCCGTTCTCAGCATATTTCACTTCCTGATGGAGGTAGTGCTCTCAATATTCATGCTTTTCTTGCTTTGGGGAATCATAGAAAAATACAGGCAGATATTTTAGCCATGTGCCAAGATGGCCTGACGTAGGCCTACTAATGACCTCTCAACATTTGACCTCCATGTTTTTTCTGAAACTGCCTACACTCTTAAAAATAAAGGTGCTTCAAAAGGTTCTTCACAGCGATGCCATAGAAGAACCATTTTTGGTTCCACAAAGAAGCATTCAGTCAAAGGTTCTTTAAAGAACTATCTCTTTCTTACCTTTTTATAATCTGAAGAACCTTCTTTCACCACAAAGAACCTTTTGGGAAACAGAAAGGTTCTTCAGATGTTAAAGGTTCTTTCTGGAACCATTTAGACAAAAAGGTTCTTCTATGGCATCGTGAAGCACCTTTATTTTTAAGAGTGTATTGTGACCAGTGAACATCCAATAATGATATGATCAGCAATGTAATTCAGATAATTATCTGAAACTTGCAAGGTACATTTAAAATCAATTAAGTCATAATTTCCCAAATGAAGAAAGACAATTGAATTCATACTAAATTCTTGTCTTTTTCACAGCATGCACCCACAACTACTTGAGTCCTGTTCATAATAATAATGCTTTGAGGCGCAATGTAATCTCAAATAAGCATCTGAGCAAACGATCATACTTCAATCTTTAAAAGGTCATTTGTGACAAACAGTTCAAATGCCTCCGACTGGCAGCGTTGCAGAGCCCTGCTGCGGCATCTGCAGTTGTCTGGACTTGTCAGATTTTGACCCACATTCGCTTTCGCGTCTCAGAGCCACAAACAGTCTTGTTGTCCAGTCGCGAGAGCGCAGCGTGAAGGGGCGGGGGCGGGGGCTCGGGCTGACTGACGTACTTGCAAGGTACATTTAAAATCAATTAAGTCATAATTTCCCAAATGAAGAAAGACAATTGAATTCATACTAAATTCTTGTCTTTTTCACAGCATGCACCCACAACTACTTGTGTCCTGTTCATAATAATAATGCTTTGAGGCGCAATGTAATCTCAAATAAGCATCTGAGCAAACGATCATACTTCAATCTTTAAAAGGTCATTTGTGACAAACAGTTCAAATGCCTCCGACTGGCAGCGTTGCAGAGCCCTGCTGCGGCATCTGCAGTTGTCTGGACTTGTCAGATTTTGACCCACATTCGCTTTCGCGTCTCAGAGCCACAAACAGTCTTGTTGTCCAGTCGCGAGAGCGCAGCGTGAAGGGGCGGGGGCGGGGGCTCGGGCTGACTGACGGGACTTTGACAGACAGACTGTGAAAGGAGAGGCGAGGGAGGAGGGATGATGACCTTAGGCAAAACTTCAAGGGGAAAGCTGGCACTTTAAGACTTGAAACATTTCACTTAAATATAATGAGTTTCTAGCTCGGTGCCAGGCTGAGATGGATAAGAGATGCGTGTTTCTGCTGGACCTGAACTGCCTCATTAGAAACCAGCTAAACGTGTCAAAACGCACCAGGCACTAAGCGGACAGCTATCAAAACGACAATCCGTGATGGATTCAGCATTCACCTCGAAATGTGGCTACACATTTGTTCAGTTGCGGGCGGCAAGCTGTTACACCACCAGCTTCCAATGCAAGCAACGAATGCATAAATCATATTTAACACGCAAAAACACATTGTGTACGTACTTTGTGGCCAGCAGCATGTTCTTTCGTGAGTGCAGTTCGTTTGGATCCGTGTGCTGTCTGTTCAGATATTCAGACACGGCCTTTGTGGGAAATTCAGTTTCACAAATGTAGCCGAAGTCCCGAGCCAAATGAACAGCTTCTCCTGGAAATGAAAAAGAAACACAATATGGTCAAATGGAATTACTCCACATCGTCGCTTTAAATAATTTTATACTATTGTAGCTGCAACTGAACTGGAAGGAGAGACAGCCTATTAAGCAAATTAAAGATTGCGGTGCAGGAACAATCAGACGGTCATTATATTATATGAAATTAAAAAATCAATAATTATATGAAATTAGCTGTACTGGTTAAAATGTCGTTTTACTGCGTCTGCATCTGTTAACTATTTGCACCGCCTAAGGAAAATAAATCAGATTAGAGGAAGTCCCAAGGCAATACGATTTCATTTAACATGTTCGTGGTTCATTCGTAAATTCAAATGTTCGTTTTAGGCTTAAAATGTGAAATTGTTCGATTAAACTGATAAACTGTAAGTTGTATTTTTTTTTTAATCCGTAGGCTACTTGTTTTCCATTATAATTGCCCATTGTTTTGCTCACTTGAAGGGCCTAAATTCCCAAACACGGTGAAAAAAAATCTAAATAAGAAACAAGAATCAGATGTCCTGCTTTACCTTCTACCAGAGACGTCAGCGGCAATACGATTTCATTTAACATGTTCGTGGTTCATTCGTAAATTCAAATGTTCGTTTTAGGCTTAAAATGTGAAATTGTTCGATTAAACTGATAAACTGTAAGTTGTATTTTTTTTTAATCCGTAGGCTACTTGTTTTCCATTATAATTGTCCATTGTTTTGCTCACTTGAAGGGCCTAAATTCCCAAACACGGTGAAAAAAAATCTAAATAAGAAACAAGAATCAGATGTCCTGCTTTACCTTCTACCAGAGACGTCAGTAAAGTGACATTCGCAGCTTTGCGTCTCCCCGCGGGCAAATTCAAGCCGATTTTCTCCAGCTTTTCCCTCAGTGATCTTCCGCCGTTTTTCGACTTCGCTCTGAGGATAGCGCAGGCATAATTAGATAGTTTCACGACGGATTGACAGCAAAGATACACCATGAAAAGTGAACATTCAAAATCAGACATGTTATTGGCAGGGGTCATTTAAAAATCAAAAAAATGTGTTCAGCGTCCAAATAGGCTTTAATCCATTGACCTCTGCTTATAATGTGGATCCTGGCTGATTTATCGATGCTCTCACCTCCGTAGAACCCCGCCAAGCAGCGAGGCGTTGAGGCACTCCGGCGGAGAGAGGCGCCGCTGGACCTCGCCGACCGTCACTTTGTATTTGGATGTGGAGCTAAGAAGCGACAGGCGGCCGGGAACCGTGCAGAAGACCTCGTTGGCGTTCACGGTGATCCCGCCGATTAGACCGTCTTTGTTCATCATCAGAGAAGCGACGCTCTTGTGTGGAACTGGAACTGTGCGAGAGACACAGAAAACTGAGATACGTCTTATAATACAGACCTACTCAAATTTACTGGAAATTGTGATTTGATCAAGCGTTTTGAACACTAAAGGTAGGCTATATTTGCTTCGCAAAATGGCGCTATAGCCTAGTGGTAAAGCAAGAGGTGTTATTATTTTTAAATAATATCTAAGACTAGTCACAGATAGCCCATGCATGTGAGAATATGTTCATATTATGCAATGTGAAATCTTGGCACATGAAAGCGCCGTGAGCTCGAGCCCTCGGCTGGCCCGGGTCACCCCGCACGCGCTCCTGCTTTCATGCGTTAATTCCACGGACAATAGAAAGCAAGCCAGAACTGTCCGTAAATGCAAACACTGCGGAAAGCCGGTAGTAATTTTTTTTCCCTTAAATATATTTATCTAAACATGTTGCCAACAACGGCGTTAAAAAAATGTGGTTCGATTTGTCCGGTAATGTTTTGCAGTTTCCAACGTGATTAAAATACTAGCATTACACTTAGAAATGCTGAGATTTAGTCCTTTCCTTTCGTTTAGTCAATTCAGTTACACTTTCCTGTAACTTCCACAGTGACATTTCAACACTTCTACACTCATTTATTATATTATCGATTGGTGATGGACACATGCTAATAACATTAACCACCTATTTTTCAAATCAGCCCCCCTGCCTCCCCTCAACACACAAACTCACTAGCTGACCGTCAAAAGATGTCTATACCAACTTAAGCGCTAACGGGGTAACGAGCGCTCGAGCCCACGGAGATCTCTACAGGGGATAATACAGAAAACGAGCTCACGAGATCTGCGCTCAGAAAACCATCCATCACAGCGGCCACTCAAAGGCCGTCTCTTCTGGGAGGCCCGTGTTCCGTTAACTAAATTACCGGCAAACGTCCCTCATAACGGACAAATATTAACACGAGCCCAGGGAGTGTTGCTGGAGCTCTTACTGACTGCATGAAGGAGTAAATATGTCAAAACCTCCGAGGAGAAATTATATCAACAAAGTGTCGCTTAAGTGTCGATTACATGTTCCCAGAAAAAAAAGGCAGACATAAATCTGGAATTTGTTCTACTGTTTTAATGAATAAAAGAAAAGAGACAACTGATAATATTTTAAGCCTACAATAGACGTTAAATTGGTCGATTATTATTACGACACTAAATTCCTCGTAGTTCGATTATAAGACGATGATTCTAAAAATATTCAAAGTCCTCCAATTCCTCTTGCTTTGGCTGAGCGTCCAAGGTTAAGAGGATAGGCAGGAGACATCATTTAAATACCAAATGTGGTTGAGCGCATGCGTAAAAATGTGTGCTAAGGTGTATTCACCTGAAATGACTTTTTGCCCTAAATCAATAGAACAGTGATTCCTTCTATCAGCACTTTTTTTTGTTGCAAAAACCCAGTGGTCGTTGAAAAACATGAAATTATCAAATAATGAAACAGCACTGGCATAATTCTTCCAGCCATTTTCCCATTTACCTTTTTTAATAACTGACTGATCCAGGATGTTCATCCCGTTGTTTGCGTCCTCCAAGGCCTAAAAAGGCATAATGAGAAAACATTTAACTTTTGAACAAACGCTACAGTCAATTATAAATATTCAGAGAACTTCCGGATAATGACCTTCTGTTTAGTTATGAAAATACCAGTAGATTCCACCGGGGACATTGACAAAAATACATGCATACATATTTCCAATCGAAGATGGATTCAAATAGTGAACATAAGCAATTGAAAAATGCTTTTTAATTAAGTTTAGGTCTCATATCATTGTTTTCACTAACAATTCATGCAAAACTACAATTTTCCATGCAAGTTTTCTGAATGAATTTATCAGTAAACGTAAACTAATCTGGATTTAGCCTAATTTAAAAAAAATTTAAATTTAACAAACTTTCTTTTTTTTTTTAAATAAATAAAATAAAAATAAGATATCAGTTATGCCCTACGTCAGTTAGGTTTTATAATCATTTTGGGAAGAGTGGCAGACAATCATTGTCCAGTCAGCTGAACAGGGACAGGCCTTATCTTAATATTTAGATTACGCAGAAACTGTCATTTGACGAAATTAGCTATAATGTGTGCAGGCTATATTGATCAAAAAACAGATGGTTAGAAATGTGAACCGAGCAGACGATGGCTTCGTGAAGTTTTCATTTTTAGCAATTGCAACAATAATTTTAAGTTAACAGCAGTTTACCTCAACACAGGCCTAACTGTAATGCATTTACATATTATTTATGACGTGAAAATATGGTCTCAAAAAATAAAATGTGATTACAACGGCAACAGAATATTGTTTCGAATAACAAGCAAGCCTTTAGGGTATTTACTAGGCTACTACTATTCATACATATGCTAAAGAGCTTGGATTGCGTTTATTCATAGGCTATATGGTAAAAATGTTTGTAACGTGTCACAGAAAATGTCAACAGGTCAGAAAACTCCCTAAAAAATATAGCCTACGGAATTATTTCATATAGAGCTACCGACATTATATAAAATAAAAGATAAAAATAATACAAATTTAAATTAATTCGTTTAAATATAAACTTATTAGATAATTCTAATCGCAAAATAAAAATTCAAAACGATTTATTTCACATCTTTGTGGAATTGATATCCCCACAAAAGAGGTTATTTTCCAAGCCAAAAAACTAAAATCATAACCAACCTGCATATCCTCCATGCCGTGCGCCAGGCCATGAAGGGACAGACCGTCTCCCATTCCTGCCTCGAGCCCGTGGTGCGTGGAGTGGAGCAGCACGTCCGGTCGGCGCACGGTGTAGTCCCGCCGGGGGTCCAGACCCGAGAGCTGCGGTAAAGAGGCTCGAGGCTGCGGCAGTAAACCTCCGCTCTCCGTGCCCACGTCCTGCCGCTGCCGGGAGCCCCACGGGTGCTGCTGTTGCTGGTGAAGGGCGTTCAGAGAGTACGGGTCACTGACGTGTGAGTACGGGTCCTGGCTCTGGTGATACGGCAGCGGCTGGTACGGCGGGGGAAAGTACGGTGGTTGGAAGTCCGAGGAAGGTGTGTGAGAGAGCGGCGGAGCGCTGGAGTACGGACCCTGAGAGACCGAACCCAGCTGGGACAGTCTGGAACTGTGGCTCGGTACCCCATCATGGCGGTCCTTCAAACGAGAAAAGAATATAAATACGATTACAAACCAACCATTTGTTTTAGTGTTCTAATAAAAAAAATAGCCTAAACTTTTTGGGATGTTTTGAATGGAAACGAATCCAACGATATGGAAAGACTAATGGTAGCTATCGCCCATATATCGGCGCTCGCGGTGATCCAAGAAAGTACCAAAGCTTTCAAAACATATTTTCTGACTGAATCGTGTGTAGTAACTTCACAAAACATCTTAAAGAAGGTAGGATTTAACTTCCTAAGCTCGCAGCATAATAAGCAAAACCCGCATGCATACTACCTTTCTACCACGCAGCTACAAGCAAGTATATTTCACGGTGTTCTCAGACTCACCGTGGAGGAATAGGTGTGCACCAACATCTGGACAAAAAAAAGCGAGCTCGTTTAGAGCAGAAGGACACGCGACTGCACGACACACGCTCGCCCGAAGAAAAACGCGCTCCTTTCTCAACTCCTCATGACCGCACGGAGCAAAAACTTTTTTTTCTTCCCCAGCTCAAATGATTTCTCCTACACTGCACTGTTCGTCCAGGTCTCGGTTCTGTTCTTCCCGATCCGGCGCTCTGATCCAGTGTGCGGTGCTCCGTCCGTCCGCCTCGCTGCTACACCTCCTCCTCAGAATAATTGTGATTCATGACTCCTCTAATATTGCGGGAATACTTAAAGCAGCGGGGAGCAGCGGAGCGTGAAGGCGCTGCTGCTGTAAGTGACGTTCATTCAGGAGGAGGACACTCTCGTGCTCTGTTTTATCCCCCTCTCTGTTTGAGGTCCGGCATGCACGGGTCCGGACCTCTTTCTTTTGCTATTGCTATTGTTGTCTGTTATGTTATTGTTGTGTGTGCACAGTCCATTTATCTCCATCCAGAACAAACGAATCGCCGGAATCAGCTGCTTTGAACAGACAGATGGACAGAGGCCTCATTCATATTCTCACATACTTTATTAGGCTATGCATTATAATCACTACATTATACTCACCATAGCTATTCAGACTTACTCACAATATCGAAATTGGATTCCACCATATAACGTTAGACAGCCTAGACTACTTCTACAGCCTATATATATATATATAAGCGTAATTTGGAGCCCCTGTAGGCTAACGCATTAACCATAACTATGCCCTTGTTATTCCATATTCACCATAGTTTCCCATGCATGTGTGTTTAAGCAGGCCCAGGTCTTCGATAAGCAAAAACATGAACTTCACGATAACAATAGCATATCACACAAACACTCATGCGATTTAAACTGTCCCTAACAAAGAGGTGAAGTTTTAAAAAGTAAGCATGAACAGGTTTTTTACAAATGGTTTCTGGGTGACAGCTTAAAGTCCTCCACTAATGGTGCCCCATTAAAGAGCTCGTATAATGGTCGATTTCACGGACTGGGGTCGAAGTGTTTAATTACACGCGTGACGGTGACTGTGAGAGAAAAGCCATGTGTGACTCTCCGGGTCGGCATCCCGCGAGGCTTTTCCAAAAACCACCACGAGTCTCTCCCACGAGCTCGAGCTCATTCAGGGGAATCCACGGGACTCCCACGCGTGACACTGCGTCCTCTCCTTCTGTAGATGCGTTCTCAGATTAATAAATCGATGGCAGGGTCAGATTTTTTCAGACTAGATTTTATCCCACAAATGTCATCATTTGTAAAGTTATAATATTAAAAACTCTACTGTAAGAAAATGAAAAATACTTTGAAAGGAAATAAGGTAACCTGCTAAAATCACTACATTGTTGATACAAAAACAACTTTTTGCAATTTGGGAACAAACGAATTGTTTTGAATATGACAAAATGCTTCTAAATCAAACGTTTACATTTGACCCCCCCCCCCCCTTATTTAAATAACCAGCATAAACCCCCTATCAATAAGAGACCAAACTTATTAGAAAAAATAAAAATAAATTTTTTTTGTCGTTATATAAATCATACAGTGAAAAAACAGATGCAGTTTGTCTTCTCGTTACCTCGTATATATCTTCATACTTGACATTTTCCACCAGTTTCCACAGCATGTTCGCGCGCTGGTCCCTGCGTAACGAGTGCATTCATGAGAAGAGTGAAGATCTCAACTCTCTCCCTCCCTCTCTCTCTCTCTCTCTCTCTCTCTCACTCACTCACCGAAAACGTAAAGCTCGTAGAAAAATCCCCGATTCCCCTTCACGGTGTTTGTCTGCGTGTGTGCTGATACAGTGAAAGTCTGATGTTAAGTGAGTTGACTTTGGGTTGCGTGTAAAAGCTGAGACCCCAGCTCCATCAACTGCAGATGAAATGGCGGTCTGCCATCTTACAGGACCGAATCAACGTGTTATTGAAAGGAAACAGAATAAAAAGCATTAACCACATAACCTAAAATAATCAATAGCTTTGATATATAATTTCAAAAGTCATTTTTGCAAAGTCACTACAGTTGGAAAAGGCAGCTTGGTAAACTCTCTAGAGGAGGTTTCCTGTCACTGTGCTGTGCAACTGTTTAATCACTGATAAGCGAAACGCGAGGGTTCTGATCGCTCAGTTTTTGCTACAAATCTCCTCATTGCTGTAGCAAACATTCGCCTACCTCAAAGACACTAACAAGAAAGCGAGGTCAGATGTCTACAGTTACAGCGATGCAGCAGTGATGAGAGCCGGTGCAGTGCGCCCCCTGCTGCTCAGTGAAACACCTACTACTTCAACACTGAAAAGAGAACAGAAACAGAAGAACAACAGGTTTCAGCTCGGTTTGAGACGAGGTCAAACAGCACTAAACTTCATGTTATCGTGATACTCACGGTTTCTATAAGATCTGACATCCATAAGAAATGCGGTGCTCATTCCAGCTCCTGCAGAGTTTAGTCCCAGCCCCGCTCCAACACACCTGCCTGACCCTCACAAAGCCCCCCGCCCTGGTTACTGTTGCTAATCTCAGACAAGCTGTGAAGCAAGTTCTGCAGGATCAAACTGTTTTCTAGTTAATCGTGATCAGAAGGTAAAATAGAACGGAATTTATTGGAAGGAATTAAAGGAATTATTAAATCACACAGCAATGCGATTAATAACTGCAAATCAGAACTGAGGCAAACACTAAAATAAAGTAAGAGGATCTGAAATCGAATCAAGCGATCACATTGTGAACTAACGCGTTACTGTGAACGTTTTTCAGCACTGCTGCAATGACCTGAATCATAAACGAACATTAGTTTGCCTTGTTTTGACTTATTTTAAAGATGTATTTGGGAATTATTTATTTGATATTTGATATTTGTTTAAGCATTTAAAAAATGATCCTCTCGGTGTAGCACCCACCAACAACGTTTTACCGTATTTTTGGATAATTTCAGCAAAAAATGCGTTTAAAACTATGCAAATCCTCCAAAGACTGACATTAGACAACAGCAAAAGCTTACCTGAATATTGCGGACAAAAAGTCCCTAAACCAAAAGTCCTTCCAAATAAATAAATAAATATATAATAAATAAATGGAAACAATAAACTAAATAAAACATAGTTTATGTAAAGTTATAAGCAGGGGAGACCAGGTAAAATTATTACTGCTTTTACTCCTGCAAATAGTATATATTTACTCTTGGAAATAGCTATATATTTTTTAAGGTAGGTTTATTTCATTATCAGTTTCTAAAGACAAATCTTAAAGTCTTAACAAAAACAAAAAAAACCTGTCTACTGAACATTATTACTGGTCAGGAAAAATAGGCTACAGGTCATTGAGCACAAGTTGATTTTTTGTGACAACATGCCCCAGTAGCAGACACATATAGTGGGCAAAAGTTGCCACAAAGGGAGCCTGCCATTAGAATAGCCTGCTGTCTGCAACATGTAAACAATAAAGCAATTACGCAACACAAACAATTCATGAAACAGCAAAATTACTGAAGGTAACAAAATATGATTGTAATTAATTGTCATTAATAACTCAAATAAAATGTAAAAATAAATATAAAAAAATAAAATAAACACAAAAATAAAATTAAGGTAGACTGAATAATTTAAATTATTTTATTCCATTCAGTGTAATTAACTTCAGCGCTGTAATTTTTGGTTAAGTAAGAAATTCAACACAAGCACTTACAATTTAACTTATAATTTTGCATTTAAAGATTGGAGACTAATATATTTAAAAGCATACTAACATACTAAGATGCTGCAGTATGACAGACAGTTGCAGCCACTGAGCCAATGTTTCTGTTCATGTAGAAAAGGAACAATTTTCCCTTCCTGCACAAGAGGTCACTGGGTCACTAGAAATACACAGTTTTCCTATTTTGTTAATTGATTTGTATTGTCAACATTTTGCTATACATCTCCTAATATTTTCCAGAATTATTTAAATCAACTAAATGTATACTGTGGGACATTTTAACTGAGCTCACTGATCTTGACCCAGTTTCATGTCAGTTTCTCAGATCTGTTTCACTGGCCATTAAGATGCTGCTTGACGTATGGAAGAGTGAAAATAATCTGCGATTAATGTTTCAGCAGCCCTGCTGCCACAGAGACAGTGCCAGAGCCACACACACGCACGCACACACACACACACACACACACACACACACACACACACACACACACACACACGCTCACTCTGGGCATGTCTAGAGGCCATGACAGATGTCCAAACAGTTTGAGAGCTCATTCTGAACAGACTTTGATTAGAATTCAACATAATCACACATTCAAATTGTCACAGAACACAAAAACACATGAGCACACATGCACGTGTGCACAAAGTTTGCAAAAACATGTTTTTGTCACATTTTCAAATCATAAAAGCAGAGAATATAAAAAAAAACTAAATAAATATTACATTTGGTATTGTTATAGGTGTCCACATTTTTTTACTAAAATTAAAATGTGCACACCTAATAAAAAATATGTGAACACTTATATGCACACTACATTTATTATATAATTTTAACATGGTGTGTGTGTGTGAGCGAGCGCAACCATTGCCTGCCATTACACATGCTGGCCACAAGATAGCGCGCGAGTAACGTAATAAAGATCCATTGAGTTTCTGTTGAAGACTTTCAAAAGAGGGAAGAAAGTCTCATGATAAACCAAGTCCAGATGCTTCAGATTCTTCCAGATTGTTCGATGACTTGTACAAATAATAATCTTCACAAACACGTTTCCCATTGGACTTTTAAAGTTCTCTCTGTGTGGAAATCTGCCCAGTAACATCTGAGTTAAAAAAACAAAATCCTGTGAAATTCAGGAATGTCCTTACTCGTAAAGACTATGCATAAAGTAGACTTTTTACATTTATTTTAATGTGAATAGTTTAGCCAATTATCGTTGTTTAAATACAATGAAAAATCGATGGTGGTCACTATAGATAGGTAGCCTAAATAGACTCAAAATGTTTATGGTTGGACTTTTTGGTAGGCTACACCAATTCAAAAGCAATAATTATAGTCTATAATATCAACATCTAGTGCATGCGTGTACGACTATATAATATAGCTAGACCTTCGTTTTATCTGAATGGATAGAATAAGTGCCAATTGTTTGGTTGTGCGTAGCCTGGCTTCTCTGTATTTTCTCATGAGGACTTTTCATTTGCATTATACTTTTTGAACTTAATTAATTACTCACCGCGTAAACTAGGTCGAGTCGATGTCTTGGCGTGTTAAATGAAAGCTGAACATTAAGTATTGAACGTCACACATGCATTAGAACTGGCCAAACTGATCAAACACACTCGTGATCAATAAATGCGCTAATTATGCGTCAAGGCTATTTGGGTTTTCCTAAGATGGTGTTATTGGGATA